CCCCAAAACCCCAAAACCCCAAAACCCCAAAACCCCAAAACCCCAAAACCCCAAAACCCCAAAACCCCGAGGGGAGTAGGTAGGTTTGAAACTTAGAAGAGTTAAGGTAATTTGTTGAGGGTTTTGGTAGAGGGTTTTGAACTGTTTGATCTGGGAAGTTTGCATAGGGAGGTGAATTTGTAGGGGGGTTGGGAGGAGAGAGTGGAGGTGGGCTTGTTGTGGGTTATTACTTTTTGTATTTCTGATGACATCTCTTTAGCTTGCTGAATATCTGAAATTGTGTATTCCTGCACAGCATTATCTTCACCTTTCTCTAGCAAAGTAATGATTCCTTCCTTTCCTTCTGGTACTAATGTAGCAATCACTTCTCTTGCTACATTTTTGCCTGTTGGCCTCTTCTTATCTCCTTTAGCTCCACTATTCAACATCTCCTCCAAATTCTTAACACTAAACTTTTTCAATAGCCCTGCTTTCAGCTTCTCTCTTTCATCTACCAGAATACTAATAGACTTGATCCCTTGTTTGTTCCTAAGATCTTTCACAAGTAATTCTTTCTTAAGAACATTTTTCAGCAAATCTTTTCTTCTTGTAATCATCTCACTAAATCTGCATTCGAGCCGAGCCTTCACTGAGGCATCCTTTGGGAAGGTCTTGTGCCATACATAGTGAGAAATGAAATTCTCTAGTTGTCAAGATTGAGCAGCCGTTAGAGTGAGAGTTGGAGTACACTTTTCGATTAAGCGGGAAACATATTCAATCAGAACATCGTCCTCAGTGATCACAACTTTATTATTCTCTTGCTTCTTCTTCATAATTTTAGGCAGCTTGTTTGATTCATCTGAGGTGCTAGCTTCGCTGATCCCTGCTTTAGTGAGAGGCACCTTCTTGCTCTCTTCTCTCACTTGTTGATAAGAAGAGAGTTTTGGTACATCATAGTTGAGAGTATACTCTGGAGGATTTGGACTCTCTTCTTTAGAGATCAAGTTTCCACTAAAGAGAACTTTGTACAAATATTTATTGATGGTCTTTTGATGTTGCAAGAATCTAATGTACTCATCTGATCCAGGAGCAGGGAAAATTCTCACAAAGTTTCCTCTTCTTTCATATTCATTGACTATTTCTCTAATCAATTCTTTGTTTTTAAGTCCTGCGTATCTATTTATCAGGTCTTTAAGCTCTGGGCTGCAGTCAAGATCATTTATAAGTTTCGCTAATTCCTTTGGAATTGCTCATAATTTTATTCCTCCTTCTTCGTCATCAGTAAATAATCCTCTAAGATTGCTACCCCCTGTCTTAGCAGTATAACCTGGTCTTCCTTTATAAATTCCTTTAATCCGGTTCTTCATCTTATTCATACTTTCTCTTTTGCGGTCAAATTTCATTAGACCAACTAAGTTTAGAGTATCTGCAATCAGGTTTGTCTTTATCTTAAAGTCTAAAGGTGAGTCTGCTGATAAAGAAGGAGAAAGATTGATTTCGATCAGCCAAGGCTTCAAGTCTGAATCAAATAATATATCAAACCCAAACAGTTCGAAACAGTTTGTTCTGAAAGATAGATTCCTCTTCATTGAATTTAAGATAGGATGTTCGCCTCATAAGAGAGCCTTAATGATTACATCATAAACTTTGGACCAAAGGAGATCCATGTCAATCCCAATTTGCTCAAGGTGCTTACAGAGGGCAGTGATAGACCATTTGAATCCAAAATCATCTCTATCAGATTCTTCATTAGTTTTCCAATTTGAATTTTTCTTATTGAGGGAATAATTTGTGAGATGAATAAACCTACTCTTCTTGTTGGTTGAAGTAGAAAACTCTTCAGATGCAAATCTTGTCAGACCTTCTTTGTAAACATACACCCTCAAAGGATCCCATGAAGTCACCAGTACATAAATTCTCAAATCAAATTTATGACCGTTAATCAAAAGAGGATTCGGTATGTATTTACTAATAATTCATGAGTCATCGAGATTGATTTCATTGACATCGTCGATCAAATAAATTCCTTTCCCTTGGCAAGATGCGTTTGGCTTAACCACCCAGAGGGGCTTTCTGCCTTCATTAGTTCTCATCTTATTGTAATCCTCATAGAAATCAGCAAACTCATCGGGTAATCAATAAGTGTCAGGAGCAATGTAGTAATCTTTCTTTCCAAATCTTTCTTGCATTTTAAGTACATTCATGCAAAGCTTATCCTTTCTAGTGAGTTCATAGCTTGAAGGGAAATGATTTACCTTCTGATACTCATTCAGTCCATCGAAGAGATAAGGTTTTGGAGGACAAGCTATCCATAAAATATTCCAATCATGAGATTCAGTATAGTTGAATCCCATTGATTCAAGTGTAGACCTCACTAGTCTCGATTCACACTTCAGAAGTTTATATGAAAGCTCAGTGTAATCACTTCACATTCCTCTTGAGTAAAGATGGGACGAAAGAGGTCCACTTACAACTTGGTGCTCCTTAATAGGCTTGAATGCCAATAGCTCCTGATACGGCTTTATAGATGGGGATTTTGAATATTTAGAAGCACCATATCCTCCGGTCTCAGCTTTTACCAACTTAGCCCCAGTTGTCCCAGCAGTGGACATACTTGAGTTAGCTGTTGATATAGGACTTATGGTCCTGTTTCTTGCACCATCGTTCTTCTTTCTTTTTGATCCAAGTTCTTGAAGCTTCTTAAAAATAGATTGAAGCATTTTATTTTGTCTGTCATTTTCCTTTTGGAGTTCAGTCTGTGGGAAATATCTCTTTTTGTTCAAAATGGTTCATGTTCCAGGTCTCCCAACACATTCTCATCTGATCCCCTTCCAATCTTTCTTCTCTTGTCTTTGAAGTTGATTTAATCTCTGAAGTGCAGCATTTTGGGAATTGGATGAACTATACTTTCGTTAAAAATTCAAAACAATAAGAAGAAGTATAAAAAATCAATAAATGCTCAAAACTTACTTTGCTGATATAGTTGCATAATCTCCTTTGCCTTCTTCATCTATAAGCCTGATTAGTTCAACAAGTTAAGGGTTTAGGAACAAGTAGAGTGACTTTTAGGATTCAAATATTCCCCATTCCCTAAGATGTCCTGATAAGGTACTAAATATGTTTTAAGCTTTAAATCAGACGATTCTGAATATTCCTGATTAAATTCATAAAATAATTTTTTTCTGAACCATTTTTACTCTTCTTAGAAGAAATTCTGATTTATAAGAATGGATAAGTTGAAAACCAGAGTAACATAAGAAGAGCGGCTAAGTATTGGCCCATTGCCGATATGGTTTCACTTCTACCCACCAGCTTGAGATCCTTTAAATAGTTTATTCTAACAGCTGAGAGTAAAATTGCGCTAATATTTGACGATTTTAAGTACTTTTAGCCTGGCTTCGCTGTTTAGAGCCTCCTCTTGCTTTGACCACCCTTTTTGAATTATGATCCATAAATATTTTAACAATATCAATATATAAAAATATTTATGGGGTTTTGGGGTTTTGGGGTTTTGGGGTTTTGGGG